TATATATATATATATATATATATATATATATATATATATATATAAAGGGATGCACGGTATTGTTGAGGCTTTGTGCAGTTAATCTTTACTCAGAGTTTGAGGCAGATTTGTTATGGGGATTGCCCAATGATTGATTTCATCAATTAATTAAATGTTCTGTTTGTGAAAATTTATTTTTTCTTTAAAATCTGGATTTTATTTATTTTTTTGCTACCCAAAAATGCACTCCTTAGGCCTTCTTATTTCAGTGAGACTGACATCAGTTAAACACCTTTTGTTCTTGAATGCATACACACAACTGATAAAGTAGCGCACTATGCAATAAATGAATGTGTTATTATCTAGTAAAATGCAGTTTATTACTTGGCATATAGCAGAAAACCAAAGCTAGAAGTCGCTAGAATCTTTTAGACTAAACTCTTATTTATATGTAACTTGAGTTCAGTTTTGTAATGTTTTATTTACCTGATCATAAATTACAATTTACTTTGTAAAGCGCTGGTTATCCTCCCGCAGCAATGTGTCGCAGTGAGCTTGTCGCTGATAATTTTTTATTTATGCCCAGTATTGAAGCATGTTCTGTGGTATATTATTCCACACCACAACGCAAGAGGGACAATCACAAACTAGCTGTGGGTCTAGATACGGCTGAGGAAGTGGGGGCAGGTTTGTGCGGCAATGGAGAGACATGAGGACAAAAAATAGCGGGGATTCAGGTGTAAAAAGGGTCCCAGCGTTCTCACGCACCTTGCTCTTCTAGCTAGTTCAACTTCATGAGTCGTTTTCCACAATGGTGAAGTGAAGTTAGGCCTCACATGAGCAAGCAGACGTGACACAGTGGGGACACAGCAGACATGCATGAGCTGCATCATCTCCACTGCACAAACCATATTTGCAGCTTTGTAACAACTACAGGGTGTTTGCTGGTCAGACCCAATTTGTTAATGTCTTCAGTCAGCCTATTGGCTATATCTGCAGCTGTTTGGCTTGAAGTCATCTTGGTGGCCTGTAGCATGAGATGCAAGGCCCCACTCATTATCAGTGTATTGGGAAGTCAACTTAATGTCACATATCCAGCACATTATCTTTAGCTGTTTTAAATCCAAATTGGTTCCAGACATCAGACTTCAGTTGGGACAGCTTTGCTGAGCTGTGTGTTACTTACTTTGCACACGGCTGCTCATTTGAATGTGAACTTCACATGCATCACAATAAAAATTAATCAATCTCATTCCCTACACATCAATTTTGCAAAAGTGTACAGCAGTCGATACAAAATCGATTAAATCGATTTTTTTTTTTTTTTTACCCATCCCTACCCAGCACCTGTTGGCTGATTCAGTCATTTATGCTGCCCTTGACCAGCCTGTTAGTTAGGGTGGATGTTTTCGTAGGTTTAAGGTTGTGCCAGTCTTTCTATTTCTAGATTATGCACTGAAATGTGCTGCAGGAGAAGTTCAAACCATCAGATACTGTTTCATAATTTAAACAACTTAATTGCCGGCCTCTCTCCTGAGTTTTGTTGTGTTCTGTTTTTGTTGACAAAAAAGTAGTTTTAAAAAAAGCAGCTTTGGTTTTTTTGTGAGGTATTTTACTTTTTTTTTTTTTTTTTAGATGTATTTTTTTTTTTAACTATCGATAATTGTCTGCAGGTCTTCAGTATGTGTGGGAGTACCGCAGCCCAAGTCAAGCTGTCCAACCGCACTACCAGTGCAAACTGTGTTCCCTGCATCGTGTGCAGCATGACATGATTGATCACGTCAAAGGCTGGAAGCACAGCTACAGATATATGGTAAGTACAGCTGTTTCCCTAAGCCACAGAGCCTCTTTGTTGAAAGCAACCAATTTCAATGTGTTGTGTTTTGTTTTGTTTTTTTTTAAACAGAAAAAGACTCATCCTGATAAGGTAACCTGGGAAGAGGAGGATGGCGTCAAAGACCCTGTGGTCAGAAAGGCAATTAAAGCTGCTGCTGCAGAAGTGGAAAAAGCCGAGGGAAGGGGACAGATTAAGGTATGTAATTAACGTATTATAACTGCAACTTCTTTTATCAGTCTGGTTTATAATGATTTTATGTTTTTCACATTAAGAGCTGAATTTTTAAACTTCAGGTTTTTAAGTTATATGCGCACATTGACCAAATTGGTGCACCTCTTTTAATGAAAGATAAACCCATAATTGTCACAAGTAACTTGAATGCGACACAAGTAATTATAATAATACAAATTCTATGAAAACAAATAAATCAAATTCTGAGCTTCTGGAAGAATGTCCTATGGACAGATCAGACTAACATGGAACTCTTTGCCAGCAAAAATCAGCTATATGTTTAGAGATGGAAAAAATGAAGCATGTCAAGAAAAGAACAGTATCCCTACTGAGAAGCATGGAGGAGGATCTGTTATGCTCTGGGGCTGCTTTGCTTCATCTGGCACAGGGTGACTAGAGTCTCTGCTTGGTGCAATGAAATCCTAAGACTATCAAGGGATTTTCCTCCCCAGTGTCAGAGAGCTGTACCTTGGTCGCAGACACACAGCTAAAAACACCCAAGAACGGCTAAGAGGAAAACATTGGATTACGGTATTCTAAGATGGCCTCCTATGAGCTCTGATCTAAATCCTATTTAGCATCTTTGGATGAAGCTGAAAAATCCTGTCTGAAAAAGGCTCCTTCAAACCAGAGACAACTGGAGCAGTTTTTTCTTAAAAAATTGAAAAAAAATGTTTGCTGAGAGGAGCAGAAGTCACTGACAAGAATTGTTTGATAAGTGTTTGCCTTGTGCAGCAAAATATTACTATCATCCTTAGGTCGGAGTTGAGATTAATCATATTCTGCTCTCCTTCCAATGTCCAGACTCTGATCATGCCATCAAGTCGTGTCCACAGTTCAGCCTCAGTATTTATTATTATGATCAACACAAAGGTTCGATTTTAGCACTTTTGTCATACATTAAAAAATGCACATACATTTCATATTATTGTATATTTGCTTAATACGTTATAGCAAATATTTAAAGGCACATTCCCATCGAACATGAATTTCGCAGTTGAAGCAAAGAATTCCCATGTTATCTCTATGCTGAAGGGCAGATCTGGAGCGAAACTGTGAGGTGAACTGCATAACTTTGGTGAAGTTGATGACATTTGATTGATTGATTGATTGACTTGTTACATCAGCTCAAATAGTCAGAGAAGAAGAATGTGTCAAAGGAAGAAAAAGTTGCATGGGATAGATACAGTATACACAATGCGTCCACATATCACAGCTTTTTTTTTTTTTTTTTTTCTTTTATAGTAGGATCATTGTACAGGCTCCTTTTTACAAACAGGGTGTAAAAGATTGTCGCCTCACCTGCGAATGAAGTTGAAAGATCTGAACTTTTGTTTACATTCCCGTCGTTAAATCCAATCAGGGCCTAGATGTGGCTGTGAGCTACAGTGAAGATGCGCAGCGGAGAGCACCTTTTTTTATTATTAAAATGGAAGATGGAGAAAATAATGTTGACAAAGGATGAAGTAGGAATGCTTTTAAAGGGGGACGCCGTTTTTTTTTTTTTTTTTTTACATTGGGCCCTTGATTTTACGCTATTACAATAGCTTATGTAAATTGTCATTTCCCTGTTTCTCTTCTGGCCTTTAGGTGATTCTGAAGGAGCCCTATCTGGTTCCTGCTTTTAAGGGACTCCGTGAGTGATCTTTCTTTTTTTCCTTCTGTGCTAAACTATTACATGCACAGAACTAATGGATTACATTTACTAATGTTTTTATGCAGCACTCCTTTGATTTTATGTGTCTCTTCATTTTTATTTTCTCACAGGTTCTGCTGCTCCTGCAGCAATGCCTCCACCGAATAAGGGGATGGGGCCAATGGGTCCCTCATTTGGTGAGCTCCTTTTGGTCAATTAGAAAATCATTTATGGTACAATTGTTTCACTTATTCAGTTCAGTTAAGGTTCATTAGATTAACTACCCACAGTGACATTTTTTATTTCTGTGTATTGTGGCTTACAGCTGATAAAACCCTCAAAATTTGGTTTAAAACACAAGCATACGCATGTACTGTATTGTATTGACACCCATTACTTGTTCTGGTCTCTTTCAGAATGAATTACTCCATTATTGCAAGGTTTTTTTTTTTTTTCTTTACATTAATGCCACTATTGTCGTCCATAGTGGCCTCTCTTCCGTCTTTTTTTTTTTTCTCAGTCGTAAGCCATTTAGATGTCCTCTCTTTGATGGTACATCTCCCTTTTTAGAGCTAACCTCACTTCTGTATCTGAAAGTGATTCTTATTCACCAACGACTAATGGTTCCTCTGCCTGCTAATGCCTTTGCTGTGTTTTGTAACTTCCCTTTTTTCATCCCACATAATTTATTCTTCCGTTTCAGTGGTTTGCTTTTTATCGATTTGTCTTAATGCTAAACCCTTCAAATAATAAAGTTAGCCAAAAAGGCACAGCGTTGCGGTCAGCTAGATCACACAGCCACATACTTAAAGGAGAAGTTCGGTTTTTTACACTTTAAGCCCATTTTCTGTAGTGTCCAGGATGAAATCGAATGAAGGACACCAAAATTTTGACAATTGCTCCTGTCTCTGCTTTTTGGCTCATTTAGAATCAACCCCTGGCTGCTTTAGAATGGCTAGCATAGAGCATGTCCGATAATGTCCTTAAAACAACCTTAAACGTTCTTTTTTTAAAATATGCTACTCACCGTGTCGTCAGCGCTGTTCAATGACGTTCCAAAAAAAGTTTTGTGAAGAAAAACCGTTCCTGTAGTGTTTTATTTAGCATTTTGTAAATCCCATTGAGTTCTGTAGGAATAGTCAATATTCCGCTGCCACCGGAAACGGAAATGGGGCCTGTTTACACAGTTGTAGTCTTTTCGCTTCACTCTGTGTACTCCGACGTCGAGAATCAAGAATCCACCTTTCGTATTCCATTTTCAGAGTTTTTTAAAGTGTTTAACAGAGACGTTAGCACCTCGACGTCGGAGTACACAGAGTGAAGCGAAAAGACTACAACTGTGTAAACAGGCCCCATTTCCGTTTCCGGTGGCAGCGGAATATTGACTATTCCTACAGAACTCAATGGGATTTACAAAATGCTAAATAAAACACTACAGGAACGTTTTTTCTTCACGAAACTTTTTTTGGAACGTCATTGAACAGCGCTGACGACACGGTGAGTAGCATATTTTAAAAAAAGAACGTTTAAGGTTGTTTTAAGGACATTATCGGACATGCTCTATGCTAGCCATTCTAAAGCAGCCAGGGGTTGATTCTAAATGAGCCAAAAAGCAGAGACAGGAGCAATTGTCAAAATTTTGGTGTCCTTCATTCGATTTCATCCTGGACACTACAGAAAATGGGCTTAAAGTGTAAAAAACCGAACTTCTCCTTTAACAGCAGCTCTGACGGCTTGCTGATTGGCAGTAAGCATGTGGCCTTCATAGGTTTCAGCTAAATGCTGATACAACTTTATTCACATCCCAAATTTCTTTGATTCAAGCAATGAAATGTAGAAATAATCAGTGAGTCAATAATGGAATGTCCACAACTTCTTTTAATGAATATAATTGCTTTTTTAAGAACTCAGCAACAGAAACAAGTGCGTTTTAAACTTATTGTGCTCTGAAAGAAAAAGCTACATCGTGTTCAGGAGTGTCCAATTTCCATGTACTTTGATTGGGGTAACTGGATCCCATCCACCTTATCCCAGCATCAGTAATCTTCAGACTCATGGATTGAATCCCTTTTAATGCAGGATCTTTAGTCCCATTCAAGGCTCCATTAACTCCCCTAAACCACCGATCTTCATCCCATCATGTGGTTAGCTGTAACTACTTGTTAGTTCCCTAATCACACCTCCTCATTATGATGGAGTTTATTCTCAAGGATTGTGACGTTCTCATACATCTGCATCCTGTGGTCCTTTCTCAATGATATCCAGCTTATTTATTCTATAAGCTGTAATTCAGCTACATTCAATTTCCTAACATTTGTTAGAAAAACTGGACTTGATTTATTCAAGCAGCTTCAAATTGGACCACAGACATGTTGTCTTCAAAGGTTTTGGCTTAATGCAAGGTGCACATAGAACTATATAAAATTCCATGTTATACAGTTAGAACAAAACACTTATAAAACATTTAGGTGTACCTTTTCTGTCTTCCCTAAACATTGTTCTAAAAGAAAATTACATGAAGAATGCAATTCACAAAACAGAAAACTATGTATAGTCTACTCTTCATTGATCCACTGCTAGTCTAAACTGTAAATTATAACACATCAATTCATTGTATGGTCCTTTGTATGATTTGGCTGTTGAGGGGGAAAAAAGGAAAGGTTAAAACGTTCATAAGCCATCTTCTTTAAACGTAACGGTAGATGTGAGAATTCTTTGAGCCACGTTCTCTAATTATTCTCAGTATAGGTATATGAAAGGATCCTGCTTCATCTTGACGCCTTGTGTTGCTTATATAAAAAAACTGGTTACCCACTGTGCATCATTACCAGGAGGATTACTTCAGACCTCACGTCTCTGCAGTTTACTTCCATATGAAAGGGTGAACGATCAGGCTCCTTCTTTCCTTAGCTGAGGTTAAAACCTCCGGCCTCTGTTTCAGGACAAATGTGAGTGGGATCCATGTCCTGGATACATTTATGTGGGATAACAGCCTTGCTCCACTCCTTGGTTATCTTCAATGCAAATCTTAGTTAGCTACTGTTATCACTGTTGCTTGTGCATTCAGTAGGTCTTGTGTAAAATGTTGGGTTTGGTGGCCTGCTTACCATGAAAAATCAACAAATCTTTCCATGTTTTACTATATTTTTTGAATAAGTGCAATAATTAACTTCTTAGATGTTCTATTTCACAGGATATGAAACAGAAGAATTTAATGTGGATTAATATGGAGCTATTGTGCATCTTACAGGTCCCAGGTTCCATAACTCCAGGTTTCAAGGAGAGTTCCCCCCTCATAGAGGTGCTCCCTCCAACTATCAAGGTGGAGAATATGAAGAACCTGGGTATGGAGGCTTTATGCCAAGACCAGCGTTTCCTGACGGGGGTATGAATATGGGTCCTTACCCGGACAGTAGGGGTCCTGGACCAGATGGCTATGGAAGGGGCGGACCGATGGGTGAAAACACAAACGCAGCGTATCCTAATGAGTTCCAGGACGGCTTTACAAAGAGACCGACGAGCAAACCAGTGAACCAGCCTAGATTATTTGGAGAAGCCCCGGAGAGTAAAAACATTCCCGCTCTGCTCAAACACCTGGTGCGAATCTCCTCCTGTTGCATCTCCGCTCCTTTGACCAAATGATATATATAAAAGACTATTTGTCATTTCTGTCTTTAGGACTCTTTCCGAATAGAGACCGAAAACGATGCTCAGTTGGTCCTGAAAGTGACACAAAAACTAACCGACGCGCTGATGGATTACAGGCTGAGGAGCATTCCAGAGGTACAGCCTGTTTTCTTCTCTTTAATAAGTAGCTAAAGCCAGCCTGCTTCACTTTATGCTTCAATACTTCAAGCTGGATTTTGGACTGTGGATAAAAGTTTGGGTCTTCTGCTTCTTTTACCTCCACAGCCATCGACATTTAGCAGCTTTCCCATGAGGTCTTCAGACTTTTCCAAACCACCTCCAAGATTGCAAGGCAACAACGAACGATATCCAAGTAATCATTCAGGTACAAGAAAAAAAAATTCTAGTTGTGTGGTAGGGTAACAAAATAAATTGTTCAAATTGGCAAGTTTGGAAAAAAAAAAAAAAAAAAGATTTAATACTTTCTTACAAAGATTCACAGAATCGCTTTAGGGGGAAAAAAAACTGAATGAACATTGAACCTTTCGTCGTCTTTGTTTCTTCCTGTGTTGTTTAGGTCCATCCAGATATCCAGATGGTCCAAAGAGGTATTTCAAATGACCAGCAGAAGATGGCGCCTCACTCATCCTTCTCTCACAGATGCACAACAGACGTGGAGTCCTTTTTCCCTTTTGTGTATATACATTATATATACTGAATGTGTCATCTTGTTTTCCCACCAATAAAGTTTTTTTTTCCTACTTCCTTTGATAAATGGAAGTTTTTCACAACATGAACAGGACATGTTTTAGTTGACCAATTGTATTAGTTGTTAGTTTTTGTCCAGGTTTAATAAAGGTCTTGTTGAAGTAACTGTAAAAGTCATTTTCCTGGTCTCACAAAACTACAGTAATACTGTTAAATCCAATGGCTTGGTCTTCCTCACGCCCTGAGACTCCGCCTCCAGTAGCTTGCTCCATCTTGTTGAATGCATATTACCCAGGGCGTTCTCCCCGACAACTTTTATTTACGTTTTCATGTTACTTCCTCCTGTGCAGCCGTTTCCGTCTGCGGTTAAACTACCTTTTCTTTATTTAGCAGTTGCTTGCAAATCCTGTTGAAGTTTGTTTCTCCTGTTTTAACAAAAGGCAAATATGAACCCTGGAGCTTTAGAACTTGTTAGAACAAAAACTGATCTTCCTTGAGAATTCTTATTCTAATGATTAAGCCATGCTGATTCAAAGTCAAAACCAAAAAATCTGAATTCTGTCATGGGTGAGAAAATCTCCAGTCACCCCTTCCAAAAAATATCTGTACACTTCGCCTGGTCTTCTTTTCATCGTCGGATAAAAGGCTTTGAAGCATCTTGCATCAACAGGAACGTTTATTATTCATTTTGTCAAAAAGAAAAGTACAAAAACGCAAATGTACAGGTGATCCTGACGTAAGACTTAAATGCCAAAAACAACCTCAGATCAGGCAAAGTTTCTCAGTTGTTCAAAATGTTCTCCACTTGCTCGCCATTTATGAGAGTAAGCAGCACGCTTGTCCCCAGGAACTCCTCGCCGTGCATCCTCTGGGCCTCGGCAGCTTGCTGCTCGGATTCAAAGGTAACCACGGCCTCCCCCCTGCCGCGGCCCTCGCTGTCATGCAGTAACATGATGTCGTCCAAGCTCAGATTAAATTTACAGAACAGGCTCCTGATCTGACTTCTTTTTACATTTGCAGGCATGTTTCTAATAAAAATGTACCTCTGAGCCATGTTGGTTTGACTCTCCCGCCGCTGCGTCCCGGTCTTCTGTTGATCTGGTTTTCTGAGGTGACTGTGCAATCTTGGGTCGGTAGGACCGGTCCTACGGTTCCTAGGGTTGTTTTTGGCTACCATTCCCCACATGATCTGCTTGGTGATAGAAGTAACCTCAATGGCACCAGAGCCTGCATGGCAGCCAGAGAGATTTATGGCATAGTCAAAGTCCTGTCTGCGGTTAAAAATCAGAAAAGCCGTGTCTGTGAGGTCTCCTGCTTCATCCAGCAGATGAAGCACGTTTCTGTGTGGAATGTGTGTGCATGCAAATAGCTCTTTGATTTCAGTCTTGGTTATGGTTTTGGGAAGGTTTCGGACCATGACTGTATATTCTGAGGTTTTTAATAATGAAGAGTCTGTTTCAGTGTCACGTCTTGGCTTTTTCAGCGGTTCCAGGTGAACTTGATTGTCTGCTGACCTCTTCCTCTGCAGAGGGGAAACAGATTTTCTCTCATATTTTTCCCTTTCCTTAGATCTTTGGTATTGATTACTTGGCCAGGCATCTAATGCATTCCTGCATTCTTGTAGCGCTCTGTCCCACATTTTCTGATCTCCTCCCCGTACCTCCACACAGAATGAGCCCAGCAACTTCAGGTTGAAGCTAAGAGCATCAGATGCATCTTGCATATTTGCAAACTTCACAAGGCAGCCATGACCCTTTCCAAGTTCAACGTTGACTATAACCTCTTTCACATGCAACCCTTTGAAAAAAGTACAGATTTCTTCTTTAGTAGTTGAAGATGGCAGCCCAAAGAGTCGAACGTAGCCTGGTTTCAAATCCGATGTGTGCTTTGGGCTTCTGACATCTCCAGATAAGGTTGTGCTAACATCCTTGTTCAACTCAAATGCTGGCACAGTGGTTTCAGACTTGAGACTCTTGAGAACAGAGCAAACTCCAAGCAGAAAAGCAGTACTAGTATCCAAAGGTTTTTCATTTGAAAATTGCTTATTTACTGTGCTCAGCTGAAAATGTTTTGCATAAGCAGCTGGCAGACTGGTAGTTTCGGGATCAAATGAAGATGCAACTGAAGTATAGTGCGACCTGGATGTTGTTTTCCCCTTAGCCATTTTAGGATCCTCCCTCCTGGGTTTGGGTTTCATCTTAGTCATTCTCCCATCCTTCAGCTTAGATTTACTCACATCGTTTGGGTTGGATTTGGACTTAAATTCAACGCTGCCATCATGTGGACTTGGCATTTTATCTGCAGCTGGATATTGAGTTTTCCTTTCAGGGCTTACGGTCTTCTTCCCAAAGGATTCCAATTTCTGCTCCATCTCCTTTATACTGCTAGCGTGCAGAAACACCATGGAGCCTTTCAGGAAATTACCATTATGCAGCAAGGCGATCTGTGCGTCGTTTTCATTGGCAAATGCAATAAATGCTTCACCGAGACTCCCCCCCATGATGTAAACCCCTCCATCAGGTATATGCAGGGATTTAAAGAATTCCCTTATATCTTGAGTGCCTGCCTTCACATCCAGGCCTTCCAATCGTAGGATTGTGCTCATTCCTTCTTTCTTTCTTCAGCCTGGGTGTTTGCTGAGAACTCGGAGGACTCTGGGAGGAAAAGTGGAGAACAAAGGTGTCATTGTGAAGCCTTAGAAAGAGGACCTGTGCCTCAGTAAAACACGTGCGTCACAAACGGAGATGAGGGAGAAGGAAAGTGTGGAGAGCTGTTATGTAAGCATGAAGGACCCGCCAATACTCACGTAGCTTCGTTACGTTTAAAAGTCGGGTTAAGGACACCCTCAGAGCAGAAATCCAGTTTTAATTAACTCTATCCGAAACGATGCAGGCAGCTGTGTCTTCCCTCCCTCCGACTGATCTGCACTGAGCCGCGTTTTCTCCTTTTATTGGCTCAGATTTACCGCAATACCGCCCTCTAGCGGAATGGAAAGGAAAATATGTAAAGGTGGAAGTTGACGAAGTGGAAAATATCGTTTTTTTATTTATTATTTCTGAAAGTAAGACCTCTAAATATTCGATACTCTACCAAGCAGATCGATCTGGAAATATTTACTCAACTGCTAGGGACTTTCCAGGCTTTCGTCAAACCCCACCCCTTCTTCAGTCCTATCACTGTGAAGATAGCAGGGGCGGAGCTAAAAAAGGGCGGCCATGGCCACCCTTATTCAATCATTGGCCACCCCTACCATTTTTCCCAGACGGAGGCAGCAGTTAAAACTTTCAAGTGGAATGTTCTAACTTTTTTAACATTTTAATTTTCTATATGTAAACATTAAGCTGACAACAAAAACACTGTGGTTAATTATGCACATCAATATACTAACATTAAAGATGAATACAGAATTCATGCTCTTCAGAACTAGATTTTGTCTTTTATGGGGTAAAGAAAAAATTATGTCTCTGCAAGTCATCTAGGAATCTTCACTGAAATCAGAGATAAATAACTACTTTAATAATAAGTGATCAATTCAATGTAGATATTAGTACATATAATTATTAATTTTATGCTGAATGATTTTTAATAAAAGTAGGTTAGTAATGACAATGAATAAGATGTTAGCCCCAGAACTCAAACTGAAAGAATTTTGTCCACTACACCTTTAATTTAGACAGCATGGATGTTTAAATATATGCGTCCAATTGTTAGCACAGGCTGTAGGAAAGTATAGTTTGTCTTTATTTGGAAAATATGCATGTCGTGATTGTTCATTATCCTGTTGCAACAGTGTAGATTGAGCCTGAGGTTCTGGCACCTATCTACTTTTGGCCACCCCTCAGTGTACATTGGTTATTGCTTAGCCACCGTTATTAAAATTTTCTGACCCACATGACCCATGAATAATAAATGCATTTCTAAAGATGATATGCACTGGAACAGATATGGTAACTGAATGGTCCTTCAGACCCGATTTATTTTCATTATGATTGGAAAAATTAAGGTGATTGTTTCAGTCGTATTGAGAAAGGATCACAATTTTCAATTTTTTTGTCTCGCAAAAATACAAATTTTCAATTGGGAAAACATAAAATTTCAAACGTAATGTAAATCCCTCTATTGTCCCACAATGGGGAAATTCACTCTTTGTATTTGACCCATCCCCTTGGGGAGCAGTGGGCTGCCATTGTGTGGCACACGGGGAGCAGTGTGGGGTTAAGGGTCTTGCTCAGGAACCCAGAGTGGAGACTGTGGGGATCGAACCGGGTACTTGCAACCTTCTAGGAACACAAGCACACTGCTCTAAACACTAGACAAACACTAAGTTAGATTAATTTTGATTAAATAAATTACATGGAAATTTTACTTAATTGGGTGCAGAGACACAATTAGCTTGTTTTCCCTGTGGTTCTCTTAAATATATAATTAACTATTGTTCTGTTCATGCTTTTCTGTGCTCACATGAAAAAACACTGGGCCCCACCCTGGCCCCACCTCTTAATTTGTTCTAGAACCGACCCTGCTTGATACTCATCAAGTACTGAGTTTATTTTTATCAGTATTAATCTTGTACTTCTTTTATAAATTCAAAACTATTAAATCGATGGATATGTATTCTATTTCAAAAATCATAGTTATAAGATGAAAGTATTTTTCCGCAAAAAGAAAAACTGCCTCCTAGCAGAGGCCAAAGCTGATTTATATTGGATTTTCTTGATTATGTTATTCAAAAATATAGTATTGATTTAAAATACCTTAAAATGCCCCCTTTTTTAGCCAAATGGGGGACCTCCTGGGAAGTCAAAACGTGTGCTAAAGTGCCCCTTTAGGAGCCCATCTGCATGTTAAAGTGCCCCCTTGGGAGTGAAAATGCATTAAAGTGCCCTCGACTGTAGTGAGCAAACATTTTATACAGTGGGTACGGAAAGTATTCTAAAATCAAAACAGTTCATTTTATTTCTTATTAATGAACACTTAGCACTCTATCTTGACAAAAATAACCGAAATGTAAAATTCTTTGCATATTTATTAAAAAAAGGAAAACTAAAATATCAATGGTCATAAGTAAATAAGTAAAATAAGGCCAAAAACAAAACCAGAAAAGGACAAGAATAAAATAAGGGTTACAGCATATTTATCTAAATAAATTAAAATAAATAAATATGTCCACCGTGTAATGCAAATGTGATGTTATCAGTGTGATGCAGAGTCTCAATTTGTGAGTTGATTTAGAGTTTTTAATAGTCTTATGGCAACGGGGGAAAAGCTGTTACAGAACTTGCTGGTCCTGTATCGAATGCTGCAAAGCCTCTTTCCAGAGGGCTGCAGGGAGAACAGTACATGGTTGAGATGTTAGGGGTCGCTGATGATGTTACGGGCTCGGGAAATGCAGCACTGGGATGAAATGTCTTTTAAGAAGGGGAGTGGAGCCCCGATGATCCTCTCTCTGCTTCTCTCAGCACTGTTATGTTCTTCCAATCTGTGGTGCTGCAGCCTCCAAACCAAACAGTGAAACAGATGGTCAGAATGCTACTGTAGAAGGTCATGAGGACGGGTGGGGTCAGGAGGAGGTGAGCCTGTCCAAGGTAAGCCTAGTCCTTAGAAAAACTACAGTTCCTACTGTGTGTAGGTTTTTAGAGGACCCAAATGGAGAGACGGAGGCTGAGGTGGTTTCTTGTAGATTTGATAGGCAAAAGGTGGCAACAAAATACAGAAAATCAAATTCCAGGAGACATCAGGGAAAACACACATCAGGAACAAAGAAACAGCAAGGAACCCTCAAAACGGTAACTGAAGAGAAGTAGTATAAATAGCAGACTGAACAAATACTAGGCTAATCAGCAGATTGGGAGCAGGTGTGGGCAGAAGAATCTAGCAGGGAGCTAGAAGAAGGAGACTGACACAAGAGGGTAAACAAGAAATACATAAGAACTTAAATACAACCCAAAACGACTAGAATAACCTAAAATGGAAATAAAACCAATGAAAACAAAAGAGATAATTTAAATAGAACCAGTGGGAAACCAACAGGCCTCCTCCACAGCAGATCACATGCCATCACTGCCTGCTGAAAAAGCTAAGTACACTTCAAGCAGTGTGGATTACTCTCTTACTCTCAAGTTTTGGGAACTTGATTTCCAAATATTAGGAAAATGCAACAGATGCTTCTGTTCTGTTGCTGGTTCTGATTCAGTAGTTAGCTGAGATGAGAAATAAGGGTAAAAAGTACGGTAGAATAAGAGTTCTCTTGGAAATATGGACTATTTATTCATAATGTATGAAGCTGTCATATGATGAAATAAAGATGTATCCGCTGTTATTATGAACATATGAGTTTTATTTTAAATGCATGTGTGTTTGTCAGAATAGAATAGAAAATTAAGCTGAACCATGAGAGGAACATGCTTAGACATGTTCAGACTCTGAGTTTTTTTTAGGGAAGGCCAGCATACGACTGATCTTAACTCTGTTTGGAGGAGAATATGTTGAGAATGAAGACACAGAAATCTGACAGAGACACATGATAGTCCAAAATGTATCCAATAAAATAACATTTGCCGATCCACTGTGGTGGGAACTGAATATAAAGTTATTGCATAAAAGATATCAGGCAAGCTTGGCCTCCTCTGCATTTGATTATTTCGTTGTTTACTTAATAAGCTCATCTGTCTCCTGGTGTCATCTTTTAGTAACAGTTAGCTTAATCTCTTCAACCGTTTTCCTAATCTAGCCTTGATTTGTTTTTATTACATTCTCTGACCGCATACTTGATTTTCATAGTCTTAATCATCCAAATCTTTAATTCTTAGGGTTTCCTTACTTCTTCAAAAGAACAGAAAGGGAATTACAGTATAACAGCAAATATAGCTGGTCAGGTCTTCAAATGAGCGTGTTCGGAGATCTTAATGGAATTATTATTCTTTAATCAAATTTTTATATCTGCAAATCTCACCTTTATCGGAACATGTTGCTCTAAAGGAAAAGAGGGAAGTAAAATCATTGCACAGATGCATGTGTTCATTTTCTTGGAAAAAAAGAAAGAAGAATCTGACTCAACCATAAAAGCTTTCTCTTCTTCATGACGTGACACAACCACAAGAGGGTGTTACAAGAACAGTGTTTGGACCAGTCACCATCATAACCAAAGCTAGAAGTAGGATAGCGGTAAAGATACGTTTGGGAACGGAAAGAGTCGGTCAAAGGTTTCGGATCCCACAATAGCCCCGGAATTCTCATCTAAACAAGAATGGAGGATTGTGGGTAATAAAGAACGGTCGCTTACCATGGCGACAGGGACGCTACTGCCTGTTAGCAGACCCATGAGAGGATTTCCTTGTTTATTATTTTTGTTATACTTAAATCTGCTCTATTGCCAGCAGTTTATTATCCCATTTAAAGCTCCTTCAGACTGTGGCGTAGATGAATTCTTCGATATATCCAGTTTGTCGTGCTCCAGGTGTGGTTCAAATCAGCGCCAAAGCTCTACAGGTCGGGTTTTTACAATTATCTCGGACTCAAAAACAAACCTTAAACCATATACGTTTTACTTTTTATACTTTGAAGCAGGGTATTTTGATAAGTGTGCAAGTCTGTCACCTAATATAGTTTATTGTTAGCTAAAAGCTGTTAGCTGTTAGAGATTGTGAGGAAGATACTGTAGTGTTTTTTGAATTAATAAAGCTAAATCCCCCCAAAAAACTGTTATAATAATAAAAAATGATTGGCTCATCTGATCCGGTCAATAAGACTGCACTAAAGCCGAAACAATTGAAGAATATAAACTGTTATAAATACTAAAAAACAAACAAAAAAACAAAAACAAACAACCTTCAGAGCAAATTTACTGAAGATATAACCAACTAGAAGAATCTGATGTGGTCATAAAGGTGAAGCCTGAAGGTGTAGATTATCAAATATTATTGGAATACTATTAAATAATTACTTAAAATAATGAATCATAGCAGCAAACCAGCCCAATCTCTTTAGGAACTGGAAATCAAGGTAAATAAAATTCTATTTTATATATATATATATATATAAAAAGTTTATACAGATTTAAAATGATAGAAATATAAGAAAATGGGGAAAAGTGATAACAGAATGTTTATCAACAAGGTATGGACTTCAAAATCATCCCTAGGATCTACCTCTCTGCATATATCTCTCATGAAGCTGTCAGGTTATAAGGGTTATTCAGTCCCTCCAGTGTGTGGTAGGTCAACTGAGGAGTTAATATTGCAACCCAATAAAGTGTTGCTCTATTTTTATATTCTACGATATGTATTTCCAATTTTATTTATGTTGGCTGTATGTAGCACTCTATAAAAAAAAGAAAGAAAATTCCTACGTTTTAGATAATTCCTGGCAGTAAAGCTGTTTTTTATTTTGATTCGCTGTTTGATTAAATTAACACTCCACTGCCACTCCTCTGATTCTCTTTCTTTTGCAGGATTGAGCTGCGTTTGCCAGACTGGCTACAAAACCACAAATGTCTCCCCTAATAGTGTGTCCATCACTTGTGAGCTGTGTCCTTCAGACAGGCCTGTATGTCAATTTTCCCCCATTATCCTCTTACTATATTAACATGAAATCACACTTATACAACTGATAATAGATATAACAGTTTTGCTTTAAGTGAGATGCAGTGTTTATTTACAGGCAGTAACAAAAGACGGGTTTGGGTGTGTTCGCTGTCCAGGCAGCGTCAACGATGAGGGAAAATGTCAGTGTCCTCCAGGCCTTATCCTGGGTGAGTCACCACATTTTTTTTCTTTAACAGTAATTTAGATTGAAGCATTCACTTCTATTTTTTTGATTCTGAATACTAAGAATGCTACTGATTATTTAATCTCTTATATGACGCTGCGACTATATGGTCTTGATGGTTTGTTTTTCTAGTGGAAAGGGATATCAACGGCAATCCTTTGAATGAGCCAAGATGTGAAGTATGCAACAACAACAGCCCTGCTTTGTCCATAGCAAACAACAAAGGAGACAGGTACCTCAAATGACACAGACTTAAAGATACTGAAATGCTGAAGGCAACTCTGTATGAACAATGTGTGTGTATATATATATATATATATATCATATGCATATTATGACAAAATACATTAAAGTTTGGTTTTGCTAAAAGTGATTGTAATTCATCTTAAGGAAATTGACTTGCTGCTTCTCTGGTTCTAATCTGGTCATGGTCAAACTGTAGTAAAATGAAAAGTGTTCATTTTTACTCTCAGCTTACACTCTGAAATTATCTTTCAGGTGTGAGAGATGCACACCTACCTTCATCAATACATCCTGTGTGTGCCCTGCTCCTAATGTCCCAGTGAGTTTAAACTTCACATGGTTAAAGTACAATAGGGTTGATACACTATTGTTAGAAGAACATATAATTTGTTGATTATTTTTTGTTTTGTTTGTTTTAGGCCGGAGGATTGTGTTTCCCTACAGGAATCCTTTCCACTAACGTGAATCCCAGTGTCAACTATGCTCAGCTGGTAGGAATCCTTTGCTATTTGTTTCTTAGTTGCTATATGAAAATGATCATCAGTACTGATTTTTTTCCTCCTCGCCTGTTTGAACAGAAATTCAGCGTCCAGTCTGCCTGGTTTGTGGAAAATCTCTACTCCTCCTCAGCAGCTTGCCTTGTAATCAAAGAGACCCTTGTTTTTAACCAAGATTTTTAATGATGGATGTTGAGATTAAAGCATATGATTGCATTAACCTCTGGGATTCTTGTTGCAGGCCTACTCTAACCTGACAGCATGCCAGGCCCTGGGGAACATGTGTGTGATGAACATGCACTCCTTCGGTGGACTCTCCACAGATGCTTGTGGTCTTTTTAACACCGTGTACAAATCAAAAGCTGCTCTGAGCTCAGTTCAAGACATTTCTTATTGGTAAACATGTTTCTTTTCTTTTTTTTTTCTTTCTGTCTGACAAAGGTCATGAATTTCAGACAGATTTTTCTAGTTTTAGTCCAGAACAGAAACCAGCAGCTTTGATTGTTTTATCCACAGGAGAGTGAATCTCCCGTGGCTTTTCTACGGAGACGAACCGGGGCTGGCGAGTCGTGTTCTTCAAACAGAGCCTGTTCCTACTGTCTTCAGTTTCAGAGGAAGAAACAAGGTAAGATTTTTTAGCATTAAATAGGAAAGAAAAAAAGATAAGCTGATTTATATGGTCCTAGTCATTTCAGATATTCAGAATAAAGCCTTGAAGCTAAAATCTGTTGTTTCTGGCAGAACACAGAGATTCAGCTGCTTGCTGCTGTCTACAATGTCAGGGGAGAGTTCTTGAGATGGGAGCAAGCTGGAGGACGTAACTTGATGGTAAGATCTTAAGTTGTTTGAGATTAAGCCACTGCAAGCAAAAAAGATTTGTGTCTTACATTGTCTCTTTTAAAACAGACTACTCACCCCCAAGCAAGTAATCAGATCAGATTTTTATGTCCGGACATTAGAGTGTTTCTTTCAGTTGCAGAAAAAGATAAAATGTCCTCACATGCCTTTTTTTATTACTTTTTCCTTCCTAAAAACTGTTGTGTAAAAACATTCTAACCACTTGAAACTGCTCAAATATTATCAAACTTCAGCCAGATTGGATTTCATATTATGAAACAAAACAAGGGCTTTAACTGCAGTTTTAATGTGAGAAGATGCTAAAAAAAAGGAGCAAGAAGCAACGTTTTCAGCCATTTTAAAAACTTCATAAATGTTCATGTGTTGTTCTTTTCCTCTCCCTTAGCTTTGTCCAGAACCGACCCCAAAGAAGGCGTCCGCTTTCAGCTTTGGAACTGCTTACGAAGAAAGTGTGAGTACCTCTAACCTCATTCGGTTCTGAGAATAACGGCAAACTGATTTATTAGGGAAAGATTAGATCCTAAAAAGGTTTTGTATGCGATTTGTGGATCTGCAGTGCGACCTCTCAGTGGTGGACCTCCTCGTTTCCCATCCGGAACCGTTGTTCTACGATGTTTACATGGACCTCGGAGGAGGAGAGAACAGGAAACTTCTTCCTCTGCCAACGCTGGTTCAGAACCAACAATACAATGGGCGGTTCATCAACCAGGGTGAGATTTCATTAAATACAGAACAAAACCTTGTTCTAAATGCACGAGGGATCTCCATTTAAGTTTCTGTTTTTCTATGCAGATGATATGAGGAACTGGTATTTGTCTCGCCGAATGTTTCTCGTGGACACATTGGGTGGCAGAGAGAAGAGCGTAACATCCTCACCTAAAGTCATTCGGGTCGCCACCAGTGTCCGAATAAGGTAGAATCCAACCTTCTGAATGGGGAAAAGAAAAAGGTTACAGAGTGTTTCAAACGTCTTATTTTGTAGGTTTCAACTCGTTCCTCGAACCCAGGAAGGGCAAATATTTCCCCCTCTGATGACTGTGACTTACACAGATCTCCTCATCACCGACATCAACACTCAAACTGTGTCTGTGAGTATATGTCCGTGTTTGCAAATTTCAATAATTTAATTATAAAGAACTTAAATAAGCTGCTGTCTCAGTGACACATTGAAAATTGCTGGTAATCTAAACCTGAAGGACTTACATATATTTTGTAGAACATCTGTGTTGTCTTGTTAAAAGGAATTATATATTATATATATATATTGTATTTACTATTTATGCCAGCCAAGTAGTTTTACGCTTTGATTTATATGTCTGTAGGTACGTTTTGCTATGGATTATGAGATGGATCAGACAGAGGCTCGTGCAAAGACAGATGTGAGTATAAACTTGGCTGAAATTAATTATTTATTAATTAATTATTAACTGTAATGCAATATATGTTAATAGGACGGATGGTGTAGCATAAAATGACAACGATCCTTTGGGTTTCTTTGCACACAGACCGCTATCGGTATTTTGGGTGGTGTGGCCGTGCTCTACTCTCTCCTGAAGACCGTGAGCTGGAAGAGAAGGATTGCTTCGCCCGTCATTGATCTGGAGGTACGTCGCCGCTTGTTAAAAGTGCCATATGTAAGTGTTGGAGCTCACATGTTTCTGGTCTCTCCTCTGTTCTGCAGACGATGCTGAAGTTTCTGTTGTTCTATTCCGGGGATTTAGCCAATGTTTTCTTTGTGGTCACGGTGGGAACTGGCCTTTACTGGCTAATCTTTTATAAGGTAGGGTCGAAGAAACTGCAGAAATGTTTTGTCATGCATGAGTTCTCTATCACATTTATTCATTTATTTTTTTTCTGTGATTTTATTTGTCTCAAACCTGTTTTTTTACATTATTATCTACAACATTTACATACTCTCTTTGCATGATCTTCTATCCCTGTTTTTCTGCTTTCCATGGCATTTATTTTAGACACTAAAGGCAAGTTATTGTTGATCCATGTTTAGTCCTTTCCAGCTTCTTTGTTAAAAACAGATTTAACTCTCCTTTTCCTGACAGTTTTTATTTCATAGATCATTTCTGTGTGTCTACAGGCCCAACAGTTTGTATCGGTTCTGCTTCCACTGCCTTCTCAAGAGGAGCAGTTTGTGACATACATAGGGTGTGCCTTTGCTCTCAAGGTTAGATCCATCCATCCATCCATCCATCCATCCATCCATCCATCCATCCATCCATCCATCCATCCATCCATCCATCCAT